CTCTTGAAAAAACCGAAAAAAAAAGTGAAAACGAGCGAAAAATTTTTAAAATTTTGAATTCGCGCGCTTTTACTCACCGGGCGGCCTAGAAAAAACCTCGTCCCTAAGGGCTTTCAGCGTATTTTTCGATGCGTTTTTCGAAGGAATTTTTTTTTGAATGTTTTCTTTATCTACATGCAATCAATCTACATGCATTTCTGCACATTTTGATGCAATAAAAAATTTCACCGTACACCACCTTTAATTTCCCCGAAATTGTTCAAAAAATGTTTCACTTTAAATGTCGGATTTTATGAATTTTCTCTTTTTTTACTTTTTCAAATTTTCCCCTTTTATTTAGTCTCTCCGGTTCAAATTATTCAGAATTCTAGATTTCACAAAGCTTAGGTTTTCTACAAAAATAAAAAAAAAAACCGTATTCAGATTTTTTTAGTTTTCCCAAATTTCAGAAATAGGAATTCCCGGATTTTTAGGAAAATTGAAATTTTCAAACAATCCGAATTTTTGAAAAAAAAATCGATTAAAGTTATAATTTCCATCAAAAATCCAGAATTTCAAGAAAATTCAAAAATTGATAAAATCCAAGTTTTATGAAAATTTCCAAAGAAAAAATCCAGATGCCGAATGCACGATCTGAATGAAGCTCTCGACGATCTTCGTGCCGTCATACCGTATGCTCACGGAGGATCAGTGAGAAAGCTGAGCAAGATTGCCACGTTGCTCTTGGCCAAAAATCATATCATTATGCAGGTGAATTTGAAGACATTTTTGTTTTAATTTCAAACTTTTGTAACGTTCTTAATTTCCAACATTTTTTGAAAATTCTTAAAGTTATGAATTTAGCTCGTCTAGAGCTTTAAAATGAGTCCAAACTCGACATTTTTCCGTTGATTTTGAAATTTTCGTGGTTACTGTAGCTGGGATTTCGTGGTGGGACCCGGAAATTATCGATTTCAAGATAAATGCGTCGTGTTTATACTCATTTTGAAGCTCTCAACGAGCTAGAGATGATTCTGAAGTCAGAATTGCGCAAAAATTGACTTTTGAACTTTTTTAACGAAAACTTAAAAATGAAAAATTTTTTTGGAGTTTAATTTTAATAATTGATTTTCAGGCAAAAGCCATTGATGAGCTAACTGCACTCGTCTCTCAAATGAAGAAGAAGAATCTGGAATCTTCTGAAGACGTGGCGGCGGAGCAGGAGAAGTCTTCAAAATCTGATATTTGATTGATTTTTTTTTTGACTTTCGAAAAAAAATTCACCTGAAATTCTAAGCTCACTACTATCAGAAAGTTATTTTAATCTTGAAAAATTAATTTAAATAAAACATTTTAATTTTCAAAAAAAAAACAATTTTTTTAATTTCCCATATTTTCAAATTTTTCTGAAAATTCATGTATTTTTTTTTGAAATATGACTTTGAATCATCTCTAGCTCGTCGAGAGCTTCAAAATGAGTATAAACACGACGCAGTTATCTTAAAATCGAAATTTCCGGGGTCCCACCAAGAAATCCAGCTACAGTAACCCGAAAATTTCAAAATCATCGGAAATGGATCGAGTTTGGACTCATTTTGAAGCTCTCGATGAGCTGAATTCAGATTTGATGTTAAAAATCGACTTTTTAAAATATTTTAACTTCAAAAACTCGATTTTTTTTTGAAAAAAAAACCAGCTACAATCTACGAACTACAATCTACCGGGGAGGAACAAAAAAAAACGAAAACTACAGAAAAATTCTAGATAGATTGTTCAGCGTTAAACACTGGCTGGTGGAATTGCTCATGCTTAAAATTGAGAGCCAAAAATTGAAAAAAAAAAGGGACAGATCAGAGAAAAAATGAAATTATTGATTTTTTGGATTCTGATGATGATGACGTGGCAGTTGTTGTTGAAGATCGATGATGGTAGTGTTGATGGTAGAAGTGTCAGCTGGAAGACAAAAAATCGATTTTTCAAAAAAAAAATAATTCTCAAATTTTCCCAAAAATCAATTTTTTCGAAAAATTTCAAAATTATCATATTCTGATAAAAATTGATTTCACGGCCTTAAATAGCAGGAGAATCAATATTATAACAAAATTTTTTTTTAATTCTGAAATTGATAAAAAAAAAATTTTGAAAAATTTCGAAAAAACCCAAAGGGGGGACCCTTATGTGATTTCTCAAAAAAAAATTGTTTTTTCAAAAACTCACTTTCAGATGACGTGGCCTCTTCAGAATTCCCATAGAATTCAGAAGACGTCGTCGGAACGCCAAACGCCGCACTAATGCCATTCATAATCGACGCGCTATTCCAGACACGTGGATCGCCGTTGTCCACGACGACGACGTCTTCTGAAGTCGGAATTTGTGATGGATCTATGAAAACGACAGGCTGCTGCTGTTGTGGACCGATATAGAGTGGTGGACGAGGAAAATGCGAGAGCTGAAAAATTTTGAAAAATCGATTTTTCAGATTTTTTCGAAAATTTTTCAAAATTATCAGATTCTGATAAAAATTGATATCACGGCCTGAAATAGCAGGAGAATCAATATTTTGAAACAAAATTTGAAAATTTTGGAAAACTGAAAAAATCTTTTTTTTTGAAAAATTGACAAAAAATCCCAAGGGCCCTTATGTGATTTTTTGACAATTTAATTTTTTTCAAATTTTTAGAATGTGTCATGTTTCTGATTCTAGATTCATTTCTAGCTCATTCAGAGCTTCAAAATAAGCCCAGACTCGACTAGTTTCCGTTGATTTTGAAATTTTCGGGGTTACTGTAGCTGGGATTTCGTGGTGGGACCCCGGAAATTTCAATTTAAAGATAAATTAGTCGTGTTTATACTCATTTTGAAGGCATCGACGAGCTAGGAACGAATCTGGAGTTTAAATATTGACTATTCCGAAAATTAGTTTAAAAAATTGAAAATTTTGAAAAATCACATAAGGGTCCCCCTTGTGGTTTTTTTTGCATATTTTCAAAAAAAAAGCTTTTTCAATTTTTCAAAATTTGTAACGAAATATTGATCTTTATACTGTGTTAGGCCGTCACATCGATTTTTATCAGAATCATACTTGTGAAATTTCGGCCCGGCCCGGCCCGGCCGGCCCGGGCCGAGAGAAAATTTTCAGGGCCCGGCCCGGCCCGGCGGCCCGGCAGAAAAAAAACAAAATTTTTGAAAAATGAATTTAAACAGCCGCCATTTTTGTCAAAGCGATAAACAACGCGAATGCGGTTTTTAGAATGTATTGAAAAATAACTCGAAGAAAAAAAACACTGAATACCTTTTTTCGAAACAATGATTCAACTTTTCGCTCAAGATTTTGAAGTTCGCGGTAAACTTCCGGGCCGACCGGGCCTCCGGGCCGGGCCGGGCCGGGCCGGTGAAATTCGTGTTTTGGCCCGGCCCGGCCCTTCACAAGTATGATCAGAATCTGATAATTTTGAATTTTCCCAATAAAATTCAAATTTCAAAAAATCCGTAGGGTACTGTACCTGCGTTTCTGGTCTAACCAATCTCGCAGTGGTCATAATTCCTTGTCCAGCCAACACCACTGGTGGTTTTGGTGGATTCTCTTTGGCCGGGGGGATGAAAACGCGCTCCATTGATAATGGTGCTGTTGAAGACGTCGGAGTAGAAGACGTGGAAGTCGAAATTTGAAGTTCCGGGAAGAGTTCCTTGTAGTTTGTGGGCTGAAAAATTTACTTTTCTAGTGATTTTTGAGCGATTTTCAGTTTTCTAAAATTTTCGATTTTTTTTCAAAATTTTCCAAAATCACAAAAATTTGAAAATTGGAGATTTTTCGAAAAATTTCAAAATTATCATATTTTGATAAAAATTGATATGACGACCTGAAATAGCTTGAAAATCAATATTATAGCGAAACTTTTGAAAAAATTCCAAATTTGAAAAAAAAACATATTTTTAAATTTCCGAAAAAAAACCAAAGGACCCTTATGTGATTTTTCAAAAATTTTTTCAGATTTGTTCAAATTTTCTAAAAATCAATGTTCGAATTTTTCCTACTTCAGATTAATCTCTAGCTCGTCGAGAGCTTCAAAATGAGTATAAACACGACGCATTTATCTGGAAATGGAAATTTCCGGGGTCCCATCACGAAATCCCAGCTACAGTAACCCAAATCAACGGAAAATGGTCGAGTTTGGGCTCATTTCGAAGCTCTGAAACGAAGCTAGAATCAGAAATATGAGAGATTCTGAAAATTAGGAAAAATCAAAAATTTTGAAAATATTTTTTTTTCAATTTTCCGAATTTTTGAAATTTTTTTTCAAAACATTGATCTTTGTACTATTTTAGGCTGTCATATCAATTTTTATCAGAATCTGGCAATTTTGAAATTTTTTCGATTTTTTTTTTCAATTTTCAGATTTTTCAGCATACCTCCGATCTCTCCATTTTCGGCTTTTTAGCATCTGATCCTTCTCCGAGTTGATACGAAATGCGCTTTTGTTGCGCTTTGAACGCTTTTCGCTCCTTTTTCAGTGGACATTTTTGGGTGCTCTGGAAGAGAAAAAATCGATAATTGATTTTTTTGAAAATTTTCCAATTTTAGGTCATTTTTAGGCCATTTTTAGGCATTTTGAGCCATTTTTAGGCCATTTTTAGCGATTATTAGGTATTTTTCAGTGATATTTAGACATTTTTTGTGATTTTCAGGCCATTTTTCAGCATTTTTCAGAAATTTTTAGGTCATTTTAAGAGATTTTCAGGCGATTTCAGGCCAATTTCAGCGTTTTTAGGCGATTTCAGGCCAATTTCAGCGTTTTTAGGCGATTTTTTAGTGATTTTACGCAAGTTCCAGTCAATTTTAAGCCTAAACTCTCCCAACCTCATAATGCTCCACACATCTCAACGGCTTCACCGACTCTCTCCAATCCGAATCGAAAGGCAGTGTGATCTCGGCGCCACGTGGAATCTCGTGAGTCGCGATGACGATTAAACCGAAATTCTTCTGATCATCGAGGGCATGGGACAGGCTACAATTTGGATTGCACGAACGGCGAATGTGCGTAGCTGGCGAACGCTTTCGTGTACACACGCACAGCTTCCGCGCGGATCCTGAAATTGAAATTTTCAAATAAATCGATGTTTTCAGATTTCTTTTCTAAAAATTCGTTTATTTCTGACTCTAGATACAATTTCAGCTCATTTGGAGCTTCGAAATGAGCCCAAACTCGACCCATTTCCGTTGATTTCGGGTTACTGTAGCTGGGATTTCGTGGTGGGACCCCGGAAATTTCGATTTCAAGATAAATGCGTCGTGTTTATACTCACTTTGAAGCTCTCCGCGAGCTAAAAATGAATGTATAGTCAGAAATTTTAAAGAAATAATTTTTGGGGAAATTTTGGAAAAATTCGAAAATTTCAAAATCATCCAATCTTGACGAAAATCGATATCAAGACTCAAAATCACACAAACATTACGCCCCAATCAAGAAATTTTGAAAATTTTTATTTTTGAAAATTTTGAAAAAAGGAAATTTTGAAAAAAATTTTGGAAAACTCGATTTTTCAGACTTTTTTACTCGAAAATTCCCAAAGTTGAGTTTTTATCCTCAGCTCGTCTAGAGCTTAAAAATGAGCCTAAACTCGAAAATTTTCCATTGATTTTGAAATTTTCGGGGTTACTGTAGCTGGGATTTCGTAGTGGGACCCGGAAATTTCGATTTCAAGATAAATGCGTCGTGTTTATACTCATTTTGAAGCTCTCGACGAGCTAAATATGAATCTGGACTCAAAAAAATGATTTCCGCTGAAATTTCAAAATTTTTGAAAAAATTTGAAAAATCACAAAATCACACATTTTTTGCAATTTTTCAAAAAAAAAATTCAAATTTCAATTTTTTTTGAAAAAATCTTGTTATAATATTGATTTTCATGCAATTTCAGGTCGTCATATCAATTTTTATCAGAATCTGATAACTTTGAAAACATTCGAAAAATTGTAATTTTCGCCCATTTTTGGATCATTTTCTGTGATTTTCAGGCCACTGTTCTCATTTTTAAGCGATTTTCAGTGATTTTCGACCATTTTGGCAATTTCTGGGCCATTTTTGTGATTTTTAGGCAGTTCTCAGTGATTTTCAGGCCAAAATTAGGTAATTACCACTTGTTTCAGAGTCTGATCCCTTGTGCTCCAAATCACAGTACAAAAAAATGCCCGGCACGCCTCCTGGCTTTCTCTTGACCTCTTCCGGGATCGTAACCCATCCATGAATCACCAGCACCACTTGATTGACTCGAATATTCTCGGTTGCCAATATTCCAAACATATTATGGAAGGTCTTGGCACGACGGGGACGTTTGGATGGCTCCAGAAGTTGTTTGGCTCCTGGAGTCGTTGGGATGGATTCTAGAAGGACGCCAGCAGCATCTGAGTAGCCGTGTGATGCGAGTTTTGGAGAATCCGACGAGGTAGTGGTGGGCGGAGACTTGCTAGGGCGTCCGCGTTTTGGGTGACGGTGGTGACGGTGTTTTCGGTTCTGGAAATAAAAAAATTCCAAAAAATTCAAAATTGTCAGATTCTGATAAAAATTGATTTGACGACCTGAAATAGTATGAAAATCAATATTTTGAAACAAAATCGCTTATCCCAGTTCTCTATGCTAACCGCCCTTCATCGCCGCACCCTTCTAGTTCTTCGTACCTATCACAAAATTGTTATAAACTCATACCATTTTCCCTCTATGTCGTCCTACATTTTTTCCAGTCATTCTAACAGAGCCCCGTGTTTGTTGAAAATCAACGGTCAATACTTTGACTGCTTCTTTCATAGAAACCTGTTTATGTGGAACCGTGTTTGTAAGGTGATAAATTCTAAGCTCAGTCCGGTGGCGTTTGCTAAGCGAGTAGGAGCGATTCCTTATGATATTCTGATCCCTCCCACTACAGGACTCTAGTCGGTCCGTCTGGTCATTTTACTTTTTTATTTGTTCATGTCCCATTTCTTGCCAAATTATCTATCTATTTCCCCCATGCATTGCAAATAAATATATTATTATTAAATCTGAAAAAATTTGAAAATCGAAAATTTTTTTTCAAAATTTCGAAAAAAATCCAAAGGGGGGACCCTTGTGTGATTTTTCAAATTTTCAATATTTTTTTCGAAAATTTTCCCAAAAATATTTTTTTCCATATTTCTGACTCCAAATTGAAATTTTTTCGGGGTTACTGTAGCTGGAAATTTAGAAAATTGAAATTTTCGGGGTTACTGTAGCTGGGATTTCGTGGTGGGACCCGGAAATTATCGATTTTAAGATAGATGCGTCGTGTTTATACTCATTTTGAAGCTCGACAAGCTAGAGATGATTCTGAAGTCAGAAATTGAAAAAAATGAATTTTTTGGGAAAATTTTGGAAAAATCGAAAATTTCGAATTTTTGTAAAAATTGATTATTTTTTCAAATACATCCAATTTCAATAAAAATCGATATCACGACTCAAAATCGCATAAGAATTGTGTTCCAATCAAAAATTTCGATTTTTGAAAAAATTTTTTTTTGAAATTTCCAAAAATTCTTGGAACATTTTCAAAATTTGACATCTCCTAAAATTCCCCAAAAATTCTGAAAAATTTCTAGACAAAAATCAGTGTTCTATGATTTCTAGAAGCCGAGATATGACGATTTGAAGTTTGTTGAAGAGACGCAGACAGTTAGAGTGTCTCGTTGTCTGCGTCTCTCACCTTCAAGACTTCAAATGGCTATAACTCGGCTTCTAGATGTCGTAGAGCAGTCGTTTTTGAGCTAAAAAACTAGCTGAAAGATATATTCTCTGAAAATTCAGAAAATAAAAAACTTTTGAAAAAACATTTTTTTTTAATTTGCAGAAATCACAAATCCCCCTTTGGATTTTTTTTCAAATTTTCAAAAAAATTTTTATTTCTAATTCTCAACTTTCGAAAAAAATTGTTATAATATTGATTTTCAAACTATTTCAGGTCGTCATATCAATTTTTATCAGAATTTGACAATTTTGAATTTTTAGAAAAAAAAATTTTTTGGAATTTTTTTTGAAAATTTTCAAAAATGACCATATCTCGACTTCTAGAAGTGCTAGAGCAGCCAGTTTTGGACCAAAAAGATTCTGGAAAGTTCTATTTTCTAAAAAAAAATCACCTTATCTTTCTTCTTCCTCTTCCTGGTCCCTCCTCCATCCCTCTCAAACTTCTTCAGAATCTCCCTCTGCTTCCTGGCCGCATCTGCTCTACTCAACGGTAAATTCCTTGGATCACAAACTTCACAAAGGTACGTCTCCGACTTTGTCATAGTTTTCGCTGCGAGACCCATACAAGCCATGTGTTGCCACGTTTTGCACGAACTGCACTCGATGGTGTCACCGTCCTCGTGCGTCAGGCCACAGTGACATCGCATCTCCCAGAATTCGTCAGAGGATTCAGATGACGTGGATCTATCGTCGTCCTCGGTGTTGGAATTGGACTCGGAGAAACTGTCGGTGTCCGCGGATGATGGAAGGATCTGGAAATTTGGGAAAAATTAGGCTATGGTGGCCTAACTTTTTGAAAGTTGAGCTTTCTAAGCCACCATATAAAAATGGCCTCGAAAACATTCTAGATGAATGTCTGAACGTTTATAGGCAAAAAAAAGTTGGTGGCCTAGAAAACCCAACTTGCAAAAGTTATGCCACCACTTCAACATGTATCCCGAAACTCAATTTTTGAAATTTCTGACTCTAGATCCATTTCTAGCTCGTCAAGCCCTTCAAAATAAGTATAAACATTATTTTGCATTTATCTTGAAATCGAAATTTCCGGGGTCCCACCACGAAATCCAAGCTACAGTAACCCGGAAATTTCAAAAGCAACGGAAATTAGTCGAGTCTGGGCTCATCTTGAAGCTCTTGACGAGCTGAGGATGGATAAAAAGTCAACTTTGGGAATTTTCGAGTAAAAAAGTCTGAAAAATCGAGTTTTCCAAAATTTACCTTTTTTTTCAATTTTTCAAAAATCAAAAATTTCAAAATTTCTTGATTGGGGCGTAATGTTTGTGTGATTTCGAGTCGTGATATCGATTTTCATCAAGATTGGATGATTTTGAAATTTTCGAAAAAAAAGTGAAAAATCGAATTTTCGAATTTTTCCAAAATATCCCCAAAAAATATTTCTTTCAAAATTCTGACTATAGATTCATTTTTAGCTTGCCGAGAGCTTCAAAATGAGTATAAACACGACACATTTATCTTGAAATCGAAACTTCCGGGTCCCACCACGAAATCCCAGCTACAGTAACCCGCAATCAACGGAAATGGGTCGAGTTTGGGCTCATTTCGAAGCTCCAAATGAGCTGAAATTGTATCTAGAGTCAGAAATATGTGAAATTGAATTTTTTCGAAAAAATGTGAAAATTTCGAAAATCACATAAGGGTCCCCCTTGGAATTGTTTCAATTTTTCCAAAAAAAAAATTTTCAAGATTTTCAATTTTTCAAAAAATTTGTTTTAATATTGATTTTCAAGCTATTTCAGGTCGTCAGTTCAATTTTCATCACAATCTGACAATTTTGAAAATTTCGAAAAATCGATTTTTCAGCATTTTCTGCCAATTTTAGGTCATTTTCAGCAAAACCTACCGCGCTGCGCGGCAAAATCTCCCCTGTCACCGGCTCATAGACGGTGCCAGGTGGCAGCGATCGCTTCGACGTCAACGCCTTCTGCGCTTTCTTCAGAGCCATGGCGGCGTCTCGGGCGGCGTAGAACGCAGAAGACGTCATTCCCGGATACGTGGGAAATGGGAATTTTCGTGGATTCTCTTCTTCATAGGGCTCAGGAGGCGTCATTTCACAATTCTCGGAATTCACAGAAGGCGTCGTTGGGATTGTGAATCTAGAATACACCGTTGTTCCAGAAGACGTCGTCGTTCCAGAAGCTCTAGAGCCTCCAGAATTTTCAGAATTCGAAATTCCAGAATTCTTAGAATCCGAAACTTTAGAAAGCGTCGTTTCAGAAATTCCAGAATTCCCAGAATTCACACGTCCCGCAGATGACGTCGAAATCGTGATTCTAGAAGATGTCGTTCCTGGCGCTGATGACGTGGCACGAAGAATCGGACGCGACGTTCTGGGATAGTTAGCAGCCATCGCTCCGGGATTCACACGTTGGACGATGATTTTTGAAGACGTCGGAGGGGCAGATGACGTGGAATTCAGAAGTGGCTTTGGGGGGACTTCAGAAGACATCGTCGAGGTATTCAGAAATGAATTATTGAGAATCGATGCAATGTTAAAGTTGGGAAGACGTCGGGAGGGTACAGTATCCTTTGGGAAGGTGGAAGACGTGGAATTTGAGAGTCCAGAAGACGTGGAGTCAGAAGACGTCAGGAGATTCTGAATTTTCTGAATTTTTAGGATTTTCAGATTTTTTGAAAAACTGAAATTCCAGAAAATCTAAAATTCCTAAAAATCATTTTTCAGACTTTCAAGATTTTCGAAATTTCAAAATTTTCAGAATTTTCAATTTTTTTAAATTTCAAAATTTTCAGACTTTCAGAATTTTCAAAATGTTTTAAACTTTTTTAAATTTGCAATTTTTGAAATTTTAGAATTTTCAGTATTTTCAGATTTTTTGAAAAACTGAAATTCCAAAAAATCTAAAATTCCTAAAAATCATTTTTCAGATTTTTGGAATTTTTAGTTTTTTCTGAAAATTTCAGAATTTTAGAATTTCAAAAATTCTAAAATTTCGGAATTTTCAGAATTTTATAAAATTTCCAATTTTCAAATTTTCAAACTTTCGAAAATTTCAGAATTCTCAGAATTTTATAAATTTCAAAATTTCAGATTTTTCGAATTTTCAAATTTTTCGAATTTCAAAAGTTCCGAAATTTCAAAATTTCAAATTTTTTTGCAAAAATTCTAAAAATTTCAGAATTCCAGATTATCAGATTTTCCAAAAAATCTAAATTACATTTGATCTCACATTCTCTGCTCCGCCTGTCATCCTAGAGGAAGCTCCGCCCCCTTTATCAATGGAGGCTCCGCCCCTTTTCTCCGAATCCGACGCCATCTGACTGTGATGATGTTGGTACATTTGATAGGCGTTTTTCAGCGGAGGCATCGCGGGAATTTTGAATTTTCCAGAAGAATCCGAAGAAATGTTGGCGGGAAACTGAAAAAAATTGAATTGTTAGTGCTCTGTAGGCATTTTTAGGCGTTTCAGGCATTTCAAAGGCATTACAAGGCCAGTTTGAGGCTATGTTAGGGCATGTTAGGTCATTTTAGGCATTTCAGGCTAGTTTAAGCATATTTTAGGCAATTCTCGGCATTTTCAGGTCTTTTTTAGGCACTTTTAGGCATTTTAAAGGCATTCCAAGGCCAGTTCAAGGCTATTTTAGGCATTTTCAGGTCGTTTTTAGGCGTTATTAGGACATTTTAAGGCATTTTAAGGCCAGTTATAGGCCATTTTTAGGCATTTTAGGCTAGCTTAAGACCGTTGTAGGTCATTTTCAGCCAATTCTCGTCCATTTTGAAGCATTTTCAACTGTTTTCAGACAGTTCTCAGCGATTTCTAGGCCATGTTCAGGTAGTTTAAGGCATTTTTAGGCCATTTTTAGGCAATTTCAGGCATTTTGAGATATTTCTAGGTCATTTTTCGCCATTTTTGACTGATTTTTTGCTATTTTTAGCTATTTCCAGACATATTATATTTCAGATCACTTTCAGCCACTTTCAGACATTTCCATCGCATTTTAGGCTAGTTTAAGGCCATTTTCAGCCTATTCTCGTCGATTTTCAGCCTATTTTCAGCGATTTTCAGTCGAAATCCCGTACCTTGACTATGGGTGGCACCAGAAGGGTTGGCAGCTTCTTTAGAGGTGGTCTCTGAAATTGTGCTCCTGATGACGTGGATGCTGATGACGTGGCAGTGATCTGAAGAGGTCCTCGACTTTCTTCCTGTCTGCGTCTCTTGTAGAATTGTTTGACTCTCTGGAAATTTGGAAAATTTGAGTTTTTTTGATTTTTTAAGAAAAGTGGGCGGGGCTCGGACAATTCAGGCTCCGCCCACTTTTTTCCCGGGAATTTTGATTAATTTTTGACCTTTTTCAAGTGATTTTAAGCTATTTTCAGTCAATTTTTGACCATTTTCGACATTTCAGAATTTCAAGATTTTCGAAAATTTTAGAATTTTCGAAATTTCAGAATTTTCAAAACTTTCAGAATTTTCGAAATTTCAGAATTTACGAAGTTTCAGAATTTTCAAAATTTCAGAATTTTCGAAATTTCAGAATTTACGAAATTTCAGAATTTTCAAAACTTTCAGAATTTTCAAAACTTTCAGAATTTTCGAAATTTCAGATTCAAGGACCTAATTCTCATTCAAGGACCTAGGTATACTAGTTGATGATCAACTTCAATTCGACAAACACATCAATCTTATTGCCTACTCTGCTAAACTCAAGTCCCGCCAAATACTGAAAACGTTCCAATCGAAAAACCCTTGTTTATATTTCCGTCTCTTCGACATCTACATTAGACCGGTCCTCGAATACGGTTGTGAACTTTTCGATCCATCCAATGCCACACTTGCCAATAAACTAGAATCTCCTCTTCGTTATTTCACCAGAAAAGTCTTTCAGAGATGTAATATGCCCTTCAATTCATACACCGATCGCCTATCCCAGTTCTCTATGCTAACCACCCTTCATCGCCGCACCCTTCTAGAGCCCCGTATTTTTTTTCAAAATCAACGGTCAATACTTTGACTGCTTCCTTCACAGAAACTTATGTGGAACCGTGTATGTAAGGTGATAAATTCTAAGCTCAGTCCGGTGGCGTTTGCTAAGCGAGTAGGAGCGATTCCTTATGATATTCTGATCCCTCCCACTACAGGACTCTAGTCGGTCCGTCTGGTCATTTTACTTTTTTATTTGTACAGGTCCCATTTCTTGCCAAATTATCTATCGATTTCCCCCATGCATTGCAAATAAATATATTATTATTAAATCTGAAAAAATTTGAAAATCGAAATTTTTTTTTTCAAAATTTCGAAAAACATCCAAAGGGGGGACCCTTGTGTGATTTTTCAAATTTTCTAATTTTTTCGAAAATTTTCTCTAAAATATTTTTTTCCATATTTCTGACTCCAAATTCGTTTCCAGCTCGTCGAGAGCTTCAAAATGAGTCCAAACTCGACCATTTTCAATTGATTTTGAAATTTTCGGGGTTACTGTAGCTGGGAATTCGTCGTGGGACCCCGGAAATTATCAATTTCAAGATAAATGCGTCGTGTTTATACTCATTTTGAAGCTCGACAAGCTAGAGATGATTCTGAAGTCAGAAATTGAAAAAAATAAATTTTTTTTAAAAAGTTTTTTTTTAATTTATAAATGTTTCTTTTGGGGTTTTTAGGCATTTTTAGGCATTTTTGAGCTAAAAAAATGTTGTCTAAAACTGCCTAAAAATTAAAAATCGTCTGAAAATGGTCAACAACCCCCAGAAACACCGGATTTTTTTTTTCAAATTTTCGAAGTTTTTTGATTTTGGTGTGTTGAATTTTTTTTTTTGGATTTTTAGCCATTTTCAGCATATTTTAGGCCATTTTAAGGTATTTTTTGCGATTTTCAGAAATTTTCAGGTAATTTTTTGAAGTTTTTAGACTACTTTGGCCATTTTTAAGCTTGGAAAATGGACATTTCCAGCCGAATTCCACACCTCGAACTCGGCCCTAAAGAAGAATTTCGAGTTGGTTCGAACGAATTGTGTTCTTGCTTCCCGGGCGAGTCGTTGCTCATTCTTCGTATCTCTGTGTATTTCCATGGGACACTCGACGTCTCCTCTCAAATGGGCGACACAGTCCAACGGAATCTCTGAGTCCGCCCATCCGTCGTCGAACGGAATCGTGATTTCGTCGGTGTAGTTGATTTGTTGCGTGGCGACGAGTGCCAAGCCCAGCGGTTCGAATTCTCCGGTGACGTGCTGGAACAAAATTCATAAAAATCCCCAAAAAATGAGAAATTTTCTAGCAATTTCAGAGGGTTTATGGCCATTTTCAGCCATTTCAAAACCCGTTTTCAGCTTATTTTTTAGTTGGTTTCCAGAGCCTTTTTTTTGCAATTTTTAGGTAATTTTTTTGTGATTTTCAACTTTTTGAACACACCAAAATCAAAAAACTATGAACATTTGAAAAAAAATCCGGTGTTTCTGGGGTTGTTGACCATTTTCAGACGATTTTTCGTAATTTTTAGGCAGTTTTAGACATTTTTTTCAGCTCAAAAATGCCTAAAAATGCCTAAAATCCCCAACAGAAACCTTTATAAATTAAAAAAAAAACCCAAAAATTGGGATTTTCGAAATTTCTTGATTTCGATGTATCTATCTGTCCGGATGTCCACAATGTTGACAAATCCGAATTTTCTGGGGTTTTTTGACGATTTTCAGCGAGTTTCTTTGTCATTTTCAGACAGTTTCAGCCATTTTGAGACTTTTTTAAAAGGGCCAAAATAGTCTAAAAATTTCAAAAAATGACCTGCAAATTACTGAAAATCACAAAAAATACCTGAAAATGGCCTAAAAATCGCTGAAAATGCCTGAAAATGGCCAGAAAAATCAACAAAGAGTGATTGAAAATTTCAAAAAATCACAAAAAATGACCTAAAAGTGAAATATAAATTAGCTGAAAATGCCTGAAAATGGCTTGAAACATGCTGAAAATTATCTGAAAATCACCTCGAAATCGTCCATCTTTAAAGTTTTTTTGGTATTTTAAGGCCACTTTTTGCAATTTTGAGGTGATTTTTAGACAATTTTCAGCACATTTGAGACCATTTTCAGGCATTTTCAGCCAATTTTTATTTCACTTTTAGGTCATTTTTTGTGATTTTTTGCAATCTTCAATCACTCTTTCTGATTTTCAGGACTATTTTCGCAATTTTGAGGTAATTTGTAGACAATTTTCAGCATATTTTAGGCCATTTTCAGGCATTTTCAGGCATTTTTCTCGAATTTTTTCTGAAATTCCCTTGTCTACCTTAATCACACAATTCGGTTTACACGATCTTCTCACGAACTGCGCATCCGTCGACCCCCTTCTCGTATCAATCACCAATCGCTGATCCCGGAAACCCGCATTGTATCCCTCGGCACTCTTGGCGTCTTTCAGCCCATCGTAGTAAAAAATTCCACGTCGCACTTGAAAGTTGGGACCTCGATTGCCTTCGGAATCCAGCGAAATGAACCCGGTTAGCTCTAGGACGATTTTTTTGGGCGGCGTACTGTTGGTGGCGATTAGAATGCGTTCTTGGCATCCTGGGATGGTGTACTGTTTGGCACGTGGCAGAGCTCGAGATTGATAGAATTGGCCTTCGGCCTAAAAATTGATTTTTGCGAAAAAAAATTGTTTTTTTGAAATTTTAAGCTTTTCAGAATTCCCGGAATTAGCCTCCGGCCTAAAAAATAAAAATATTAAAAATAATTTTTTTTCAAAAATTTCAAATTTATACTTTCAGATTCCTCGGAAGACTTCTGATCAAATTATATGCTTTTTTCGAGTACACATTCTTCTCTAGGATCGTGGCTTTTGGCTTGGCGCGAACTGGAACTGCCTGGAAAATTTGGGGATTTTCCCTGATTTTTTTCGCCCAAAATTACCTCTTTCCCGACCAGAATCGAGTTCGGCAGAATGATCATACTCATCTGCCCCGAATTTTCTGAAAAAATTTTTTTTCCAAATTTTTTTTTTTTCCAAATTTTTCAAATTTCTGAGCGAATTTGCTAATTTTCTGGGTTGAAACTTATCGATTTTTCGATTTTTCACACCCAGAATCCTTGAAAATCCCAAAAAAACACTTTTTTTGCGAAATTTTGGCGAAATTCCCAAAAAATGGGTTCAACAGGAGCGAAAAGCGCATCTTCAGCTACAGTAACCTACAGAAATTGCGTACTTGGCATTTTATTCTACGCGCAAAGTGAAAGCGAGGGAAGCGAAAATGTTCAAAAATGAGTCATTTTTCAGGTTTTTTCAGGAATTTTTGCTTAAAAAACGAAGAAAAAAGAAAAAAATTGGTTAAAAAAACAAATTGCAAGCAAATGTACAAATCTGAACTTCTGAAAATCCGTTCTTTTATCAATTTTTTCCATGATTATTTTGAATTTTCATAAATTTTCATGAATTATCGAACTAATTCATCTTTTAAACTTTAAAATTTTCCGAAATTTTGAACTTTTTCAAAAATTGGTCCTCCCCCCCCCCCTCCCCGATTCCCCATCTAAAAGGTCCAGATTTCCTGCCCCATTGGATGATAAATTAGGTCATTGCTCAGCGTAGTGCCTAGTACTACCCAAAATAGTGAAAGAGTGCTCTTTTCAATCTTTCCTAATTTATTAGGTTCCCCCTTTTTGGTCATTTCCCATTGCTCATTCTAAATAATGAGAAATCTCAAAATGGAGGGCAAAAAGGGTGAGAAAGGGGCGGAGCTTGAAGTTCTTGGGTACTGTAGATTTGGTTCCTTGCCAAAAGTTTCTAAACTTCCAGATCTAGATTTTTTGAAGTGTTGAAATTTCGACTTTTGAATTTTCAGATTTTTTGAAATTTTCGAAATTTTCGATTAAAATAAAGGAGCTTAATTTTCAAAAAAAATTGAATTTTTTGATTTTTGAAAACTATGAAAATTTGAAGTTTTGTCAAATTTTGAGTTTTAGAATTTTGCATTTTTTGAAATTTCGATTTTTTGAAATTTCCAGATTTTTTGATTTTTAAATTGAAATTTTGAATCTTTTCGATTTTTTAGAGATTTAGGAACTGGAATTTTTCTCAAATATTTGCAAATGGAGCCAAAAAGGGGGCGGAGCTTGGAGGTCCTTGGGTACTGTAGATTTGGCTCCTTGCCTAGAATTCCTGAATTTTCAGACCTAGATTTTTAAAAGTATAAAATTTAAAATTTCCGAGTTTTTTGGTTTTTTGAAGTTCCCCTTTTTTTTAAATATCGATTTTCGAATTTTTTGGAATTTTCAGCATTTTCAGATATTGTTGAAATTTTCGATTTTTGAACTTTTGTTAATTTCGAGGAGCGGAGCTTGATGTCTTCGGGTACTGTAGATTTGGAATCCATGTCTTCTGGAAATTCCAAATTTTGAAAAAATTCAATTTTTCGATTTCCAAAATTTTTTTTCAATTTTGAAATTTTCAGGATCCTCGGTCTTCCTTCTCGGCTTCTAGACGTTTCTGGAGACCTAAAATCCCTGAAAATGTTCAGATCTAGGATTTTTTGAATTCTTTGAAAATTCGAAATTTTCAGATCTCAAGGTTTTGCAAAAAATGAGCAATCATTGATATCATTTTCCAATAATTATTCATTTCTCCTTACATATAGAAAATATCGTTTAAAAAGAAAAGAAAAAACGGTGTGGTGGTGTGGTGTGTCACAAATAAAATAGGGTTGGATGGGGATGGGGTTGGGGAAGATTCCAGAAGGATTCAAACAAAAAATAATTTTGCTTTTGCTGTCATTCAAAACAATTTGAAATTTTAAAGACGAAAAAAAAGATGTGGATTGTTTCAGAGTTGGGGGAATAATAATGAATGAAGAGAAGGACGAAAATTGGTGTTAAAAATTTTGCATTTCTTTTAAATTAATCGAGAGAGAGAGATGAGAGGAGACAGAGGGAACGTCTTCTGGAAAATTCTCAAAATTTCAGATTTTCAGAATTTCCGGGAATCTGAAGAATCGAGGAATTCAGAAGACGTGCGTGGGAGAGTGCGGGGGGAGAAACCAGTTACGATTGAAGCTAAGATAGGAAAGTAGCGATGGGAGGGGGTGATCAATTTTTAGGAGAATTGTAATTTTTTTTTTGGGGAGGAAGAGGGTGGGAAAATAAGTTTTGTTTAGAAAAAAAAAGACAAAAAGCGGGGAATTTTCAGAATTTTTTCCAGAAAATTCTGAAAAAAATTCGGAAATTAGGGGACAGGTAACACAGTTTAAAAGGGGCGGGGCCAGGGGAAAAAAAGGGGCGGAGCTATAATTTGGAAAGAGAGGAGATGTGTGGATTGGAATAGAGCGCGAATTTCAAAAATGGAGAGGGGGAATTTTTAGAGAAAAATTTTATAAAACATTTCTGGATAGGGGGTGTTTAGAGAAAAATGGGCGGGACCAAAATATAAAAGAATGGAGGGATATCGATCGAAAATGATTGATGTGATGCTGATGGTGTTGTGTGTGTGTGTGTGATTTTTCAGAGAATCGTGAAGGTGAGCTTCTGATGATGACGACGGTGTCGTTTAGAGGATCATGCACTTGCTCTTCTTCTTCTTCTTTTGCTGCAGAGCCGCTTGTGTCGCTTTCTCGAACACCTGGAAATTATAATTTTTTAGAAATTGTAGATTTTAGTGATGAGCAACCCTAGTTTCAGGATTTTAAGACGGTGGTCAAGGATTTCTAGTTTTAGAATGATGGCCGTGTATTACAGATGACCTAGTTTAAGCATTCCTAGGCCACTGTCAAAAATAGTCGATTTTGGGGTTTCTAGGCCGTCGTCTAATACGGCCGACCACGGTGACCTAGAAAATTCAGCCTGCAAAAGTTTGGCCACCTCGTTAAAATGACCTAGAAGAGATACCAGGTGAATATCAGATCGTTTCTAGGCAAAAGAAATTGGTGGCCTAAAAAACTCAACCTTGCAAAAGTTAGGCCACTGTAATGGTTTCTAGACTATTATCTAAAATGACCGAATTCTGGGTTTCGTAGGGAATTACTAGCTGAAAGTGGCCTAGTTTCGGGGGTTTTCAATTTCTAGTCCATCGTCTGATATGGCCGATTCTTGGGTCTCTAGGTCATCGTCTAAAATTGCTGGATTTTCGATTTCGTAGGAAATTACTAGCTGAAAGTGGCATAGTTTCAGGGTTTTAGGATTTCCAGGTCATCGTCTAACATGGCCGATTTTTGGATTTCTAGGCCATCGTCTCAAATGGTCTAGGTTTTCCGGGATAGCTAGCTAAGGCTGTCTCGTTTCAGGGCTTGAAGACGATTGGGCTGGTCTATGGTTTCTAGATCACAATGGTCTAGCTTTGGGGGCCGATTTTAGGCCAATCACCAGAGAGTTTTAAACTGACCCCGAAACTGGCTAAGCTAAATTTCTGGCCTAGATCAAACACGCATGGCCTAGCTTGAGAATTCTAGGCCATCATCAGAAATGTCCTAGGTCTGCTGGTTTTCTAGCTAAGGCGGCCTAGTCTTGGGGTTTTGGGACGATGGCCTAGCTTAAGGATTTCTAGGCCACCGTTTAACTTGGCCGAACTGTGGATTTCTAGGCCGTCATCTAGAATGACCGATTTTTAGGCCAATTTCCAGGAAGCTAGGCTTCTGAATAGCGAATTTTCAGGCTATTTTCAACAGGGAAACTCAAATTTTCTCTCTTCCCAAAACGAAAGAAACCGAACCTCACGAATTCCATCCTTGGTCTTGGCGGAGCACTCCAAATAGGCAAAAGCTCCAATCTGCTCGGCGATAGCACGTCCCTGCTCCGGCTTGACTGGCTCCTGCTTCATCTTGGCCAACTCGCGCACCGTCTGCGGGTCGCTGCGCAAATCGCGCTTGTTTCCGACGAGAATGATTGGCACGTTGGGGCAGAAGTGCCTGACTTCTGGCGTCCACTTCTCCGGAATGTTCTCCAACGAGTCGGGCGAGTCGATCGAGAAACACATCAGAATGACGTCGGTGTCCGGGTACGAGAGTGGACGGAGACGATCGTAGTCCTCCTGTCCGGCTGTATCCCACAGAGCAAGCTCCACCTGCAGCAAAGGGGTCGAGATTAGTTAGGGGTTCGTAGATACGAGTCGGTAAGGGGGTTTTTGGGGTCATTTTGGCTCAAAAATCTCCTAAAAATCGCTGATTTTCGTATTTTTAAGCTTAGAAGCTGTTAGGGGTGCAAAAACCTAGCTAAATCGCTCAAAATCAAGTTCTGGTGCTTTTTCGACGTCAAACTTCGTTTTTAGCCAAAATTGCTGATTTCAGACCGATTTTCACAGCTTCTGAACGTCGGAAATCGCGATTTTCGCAGTTTTCGAGCTCAGAAGCCGTTCCCAAAATCGATTTTCGTCGTCGTTTTTAGCGCCAAACCAGTCATATCTTTTTTTAGCTGAAATCGTCGATTCCAGACAGATTTTTGGGAAATTCAGTTGTAAGATACTCAACATTCGAGCTCGATAGTCAATTTCGATAGTTTTTGAGCTTAGAAGCTGTTGATAGTCTCGAGAACCGAACTAGAGGCAGAACGGCTATTCCAGACCGATTTTCGGGAAGATTTTTCACTGAAAACAGTCAGAAACGTCACTAGAACGATTCGAACGGTTTCTGGCTCGTTTTTCAGCTTCCTAGACTGACTTTATGGATCTGAAGCAGATAAATCGTCAAAATAGAGCTCTAGAGCGCGTTTTTCAGCTCCCTAGATAGACTTTAACGCGAATAATACCGAAAAATTGTCGAAATTGAGCAATTTCCGTGCCGAAAACTGATTCTGCACTGAAAATTGACAAAAATGACTAAATTTTCGCTTAGGACGATTCTAAAGGTTTCTGGCTCTCTTTTCAGCTCCCTAGATTGATTTCAAGTGCCTATGACCGAAAAATCGATAAAAATGAGCAATTTCGAAAACTGCATTACCACTCCAAATTCGAGCTAGAAAACCAATTTTCGCTTCGA